GGAACCACTGAGCTAAATCCCCAGCCCCTGTTATACTGTGTTTTTAAAAATTCATAGAACCAGGATGGGGATTTAGCTCAGTAGTTCTGCCACCTGCCTTGCAAGCACAAGGTCCCAAGTTCAATCCCCGGTACCAAAAAGAAAAAAATAAAGATAGAAGAGGGACAGGGCTGGGGATTTAGCTCATTGGCACTGCACCTGCCTCGCAAGTGCAAGGCCCTGAGTTCGATACCCTGTATCGGAAAAATAAAAAAATAAAAGAGGGACAGAAAGGTAGGGTTGCTTGGGCTTAACTCTGCACTGCCACTGACAGTCTACCTTGACTTTGATGTGCTCTGGTTTCCTGATCTCCAAAATAGAAATATCTACCTCATAGGATTGTTTGACTAAGATAACACATTTAAAGCACTTAATACCCAACCTGAGCCTGGGGATTTAGCTCAGTGGCACCATTCCTGCTTTGTAAGCACAAGGTCCTGAGTTAGATCCCCGGTACCAAAAAAAACCCAAAAAAACCCCCAACCTGGTGAGTGGTGGGCATTTTTAGAAGTATTTGCCAGTTCATACTCCCAGAACAAAAAGAATAATATTCTCAACTGCCCTAAAACAGGATTAGTTAAGGTTATCCACAATGCAAGCATTCCTCAGAGATATCGCAGGTTTGGTTCTAGCCCACTATAATAGAGCTAAGAGCACACTGAAGTGAGTTATAGACTTTTTTATTTTCTAGTGCATATAAAAGTTATACTGTCCTGTAGTTGGTTACATATGCAATAACATTGTCTCAAAAATATGTATATATAACCTAATTAAAATACTTTATTGCTAAAAAAAATGCTAACAATCATCTCAGCCTTTAGCAAAGTCATAATCTTTTTGTTGGTGGAGGGTCTCCTCCATGTTGATGGCTGCTGACTGATCAGGTGGTAATTGCTGAAGTTTGGCATGGCTCTGGCAGTTCCTTAAAACAGTGGGATTTTGGGCCTGGGGATTTAGCTCAGTGGCACTGTGCCTGCCTCACAAGCACAAGGTCCTGAGTTTGATCCCTGGTACCAGGGAAAAAAAACAGTGGAATTTATCACATTGATTAACTCTTCCTTACATGAAAATTTTCTCTGTAGCATGTGATGCTGTTTGACAACATTTTACCCACAATAAAATTTGAGTAAAATTGGAGCCAATCTTCTAAAAACTACTGCTTTATCAACTTAAGCTTATGTAATATTCTAAATCCTTGTCATAATTTCAACATTGTTCACAGCATTTTCACCAGGAGTAAATTCCATCTCCAGAAATCATTCTCTTTACTCATCCATAGGAAATAATCCTCATCTGTTAAAGTTTTATAATGATACAACAGCAGTTGAGTCACATCTTCTGGCTCCCCCTCTCATCTCTTGCTATTTCTGTCACTTCTGCTTAACTTCACTACTGAAGTCTTGAATCTCTCAAAGTCATCTATGAATATTTTTACCTCCTTGTATGAATCTTGAATGTTCTTAATATCTTCAAGAATGGTGAATCTCTCTCAGAAAGTTTTCGATTTACTGTGTTTACATCTATGAGAGGAATTACGAGGTGTGATAGCAGTAACCATACAAAATATATTTTATGAATAATGAGACTTGAAAGTCAGAATACTCCTTAATCCATGGGCTGCAAAATAGATGTTGGCAGGCCTGAAAAGCAACGCTTATCTCACTGTACCTCTCCATCAGATCTCTTGGGTGACCAGGTACATTGTCAATGGGCAGTAATCTTTTGGAAGAACCCCCCCCCTCTTTTTTTTTTTTTTTT